GTATATGTATTATTCGAATTGGACACCTTGTTTTAGATGCTCTAACTGTAGTCCACCGTGACAAGATCTGGGGTGTGGATTACAAAGGGAGAGAAGCAGGGGGGCAGTAGCAGGTCGCCTTGTTCTCTGGAGAGGCCTGGGGGCAGGTCTGCCAGCTGCTGTGACTGTCCTGCTTGGTCAGCTCTGGTGGAAATGGTGACCATCCACTACAGGCGACACAGCCCAGGCGAATCAGGAGTGGAGACAGTGCCAGGTGCTCAGGGGCTCCTCTTCCCGTCAGAGCAGTGATGCCTTAGAGTGGACTGATCCTCAGAAACATACAAGTGCAGAGTTTGGTTTTGCATGAAGAGTGGTATTACACACCCAATAGAATGTCATACATTCAAAGTAAGGTCTGGGCCCTGGCCGGTTTGGCTCAGTGGTTAGAGCGTCGGCCTGCAGTCCAGACACCTGGGTTCGGTTCCCGCTAAGGGCATGTACCTCGGTTGCAGTTTGTCCCCGGCCCTGGTTGGGTCGTGCGGGTGGCAGCCACTCGATGTGTCCCTTTCACATCGATGTTTCTCTCTCTCTCTCTCTCTCTCTCTCCCTTCCTCCCTTCGTCCCTCCCTCCCCCTCCCACCGTATCCGAACAAAAAATGGAAAAATGTCCTCGGGTGAGGATAACAAAACAAAACAAAATAAGGTCTGGGGAGGGGAATGAGAAGCATTTTCTAATAGCAGAAATTGGATCTGGGGGAATATTTTTGAAACATTTATAGCATTTCTTTCATATGTTCTGTGTATGTTAAGTGGAGAGTTTTAAAAATCAACTAAATGAAGAAAGGTCCTTGGGTGAGGAAAAAACAAGAGTTCCAGGGCCCAGTATTTGGCAACTCAATAAATTAAAAAAAAAAGGCTGATAGAACATTTTGACTTAAAGCAGGCCCCTGTTTGCGTAATAATGTATCCAGCATAAATCTCAAGTAGCAACACTTTCTCAAACTTTAAATTTTATTTATTTATTTATTTATGTTTTTAATCCTCACCCGAGGACATTTTTCCTTTTTTTGTTCAGATAGAGCGGGAGGGAGAGAGAGGAAGAGAGAGAGAGAGAAACATCGACGTGAAAGGGACACATTGGGTGGCTGCCACCCACATGATCCAACCAGGGCCGGGGACAAACTGCAACCGAGGTACGTGCCCTTAGTGGGAACCGAACCCGGGTCTCTCTGAACCTCAGGCCGACGCGCTAACCGCTGAGCCAAACTGGCCAAGGCTCAAACTTTTTATTTAATAGAAGCCATAGTATGCTGTCTGAATTGCTCTCATGCCTCACAATGGTGGCCAGATACGTTGGGTTTTATTACACCTGCGTATTAAGGTAAGGGCTTCATGAAGGAATTACTTTAGAAAATAAAACCACTTAGATTTTTCTTTTCTGGTGAGAGAGATTCGTTTGGCTGACTTTGCTGACACGTTCACTGTTGGCAGTTGGCTGGCAGAGCCTGCGCCCCAGGCAGTGTTACGTTCTTGATCTTCACTGCCCCAGAGGGGACACAGTTTGTATCTGGCTGAGATGTGATAGCATGTGAAGAAGCATGACTGTGTGTAAAGACAAGAGTATAAATGATGAAACTTAATCACAATCCAAATGAATTAAAATGGGAAGTGGAATCAGAGAAACGCAGTGAGTGCCCTTGAGTGGGGAGGGACACGGCAGAGCCGCAGCTGGTGACCTGCCCTCCTGTGCCTGCGCCCCTGCTCCCCGCGCCCCTGCTCCCCGCCTGCACACAGGCATTTCAGCCCACCTGTGGCTCTGGCCAGGGGTGTGGGAGGGTCCACAGCTGTGTTTGGGGCCCACTGTATCCCAGGATTTCTTCTGCCAAGTGTTGAAGGGGTGACAGATGTTTCTGGATATGATTATTAGCTCACAGGGAAATATTTTTGAGACTCATCTCTGAGTAATGCATGACTGGGATTTTCAACAGTGAAGATTTGTGTACTGTACAAGTATCGAAGCTGGTGGACCAGCCCCGGCAGAGGGGTGGCTGGAGGAGAGGAAGTGGCAGGAATGGCTCCACGCCTTAGTCACCCTGTGGGGCGGTGTTGCTCACACTTAACCCTCCGAGTGCCTCTGATCCTCAGCTCAGCGTGAGAGGCTTGGAGGGGAAGGGGGGGACCCTTGCACTGCCCGCCCAGCCACCAACCATGCTGTCCTGGTTCTGGGGGCTGCAGGGCAGCTCTGTGATTCCCGGTTCCCAGCTCTGTTCCTCCAGAAGCCTGGGAGCCTGGATCTGGACGCCGGCATCTCCACTGTCTGCTCCTCTGCCTTTTCACTTCTACTCTTTCACCTCTCTGTTTCCTTTCCCCCTTTCCTCCTTCTGCCTTTGTCTCAGCCCGTGGCCGTTGTACCCATGGTCATCATTTGGCCCACTGTAGCTGTCTGAGTAAAGACATGATCAACCGATTCTTCTGCATCTCGTAGAATACTTTTTGGAAAGTGATGCTGATTGTAAACATAAGTGCTGTAGTGTAAAGACAAGGGAATGCATCCCAGTGACAAGGGCACTTTTTAAAGCAGAGGCATCAGCATTGTAATAGCTTTTGCTGCCATGGTGCCGTGTAACAAACAGCCCCTGGACTCACTGGCTTACAGCAGCCTTTGTTTTTCTCATGGGTTGGCTTCAGGGAGGCAGCTTCCAACTGCGGGTCCTGAGACTTGGCTCTAGGCTTTGGGTTGAGTTCAGGTTGGGCCCATGTGTCACAGTGTGGCGCAATGGCTTCCCGGCAGTAACAGGAGCATGGAGGAAAAGTACAGACCCATGAAGCCTCTGAGACCTTGGCCCAGAATCAGTATGTTGTAGCCTCTGTCACCGTTCCCCTGGCCAATTCAGGATTTCAGTGGGATGGGAAAAAAGTAGCCATCCATGCTACTGCACTGTGGCACAGGGGAAGGAGGACCAGCCTGCCACAGAGGTCCCCGAAAGTGTGATAAGAGAACACGGCTCCCATACATGTGCTGGGAAGGCCATGAGGAGGGCGTCCAGGAAGCTCAAGAAGCTCTGAGGAGTCCTGCTTGGAAGAAGCACTGAGTGTTAAATGCATAGAGATGTTTCCATGGCCCTCCTGTCCCATCTGGAACACAGTGGTTCATGCCCAGTGCAGGTGGGGGCGGGGCGGGGCGGGTGGCTGACCACCAGCCCCTTGCTCCCGGACCTCCAACCCCTGCAGCCTTCTGCCCGTTGGAGTGGGTTCCTCTCAGTATTCCCTTCAAATTTCAAAGAGATTTTAAAGGTTACTTTCTGAAGTGTTTGGCCAAAAAAAAAAAAAAATGCCGAAGAATTTGAGACAGTTCCAGATACCAGCAGTGAGAAGAGCGTTTGTGGCTCATCCTCCAGCAACTGGAAGGTGGTTCTTGTGGGAGCCGAGCAGGCCCTGCGGGTTGGGTCCCAGCGGCGGCCTCACTCGGCTCCTGGGAGCCAGAGGCGGTTTTGATCCAACAACCAGATGATTTACCGTCTCAGACTGAGTGGCCATTGTCAGGAAGGTTGATTCCTCCTTTAAAGAGCCATAAATAAAGGGCCATATGGGTATTTGGGGGAACATTCCTGATCTGCTTTCCTTTCACCGAGAAACCCATGTCGCAGAGAAACAGTCAAGCGTGTTCCTTTGGCTGACTCTGCGAAAGGAAATGAGGAAATGAATGCCTCCTGGATGGCTGGGTATTTGCGCATCCGTTGCCATGTGGAAAGGGAGAAAAACAGTTTGTCAGCCTGAAAGCTGCCCCTTGAAGAGGAAGGCGTGAGAGGCAGAGTGTGGAGATGACAGAGTGTACCAATTATTCTGGCTTCCAGGTCTCCCAGGGGCGCGAAGCGTTTTCACTGTTCCCTCGTTCCAGTCATGCCTGGCTGCCTCCTGGGACTTCATTGTCCCCTCGTTGCTATCATAGTTCTTTCTGGCTTTGTCCCCAACTCGCAGCTTTGCCTTGAAAGCTTCTCTTCGTACTAGAAGCTCATTTCCCACCCTCTGTTAGTCCCCGGCCTCCTCCGCCCAGCGCTGGACTGTCACCCCATCCTGCCCACATCAAAGCCCAGCATGCCCAGTCATGACAGTGGATCTGCAGCCAAACCGCCGTTTCTTTGCTAGCTTAACGAATGTCGAGAGGAATGGACGATTGTTGTGATTATTGCTGAAGCTGGGAGACTACCTGAGGGAGTGGGGACACCTGCCCTTGAGGAGGCCCCGTTTGAATTAGGTCCTGATGAATGAGCAGGAGTTCACCAGACTGCAAAGCTAGGGAACAGCATTTTAGGCAGAAGGAACAGCACTTACAAAGTCTACACCAGAGTCAAAGGAGAGAGATAACATTTTGTAGGCTTTTCTTTCATAGCAGAGAAAAAATGCTGTCCCTGTCTCTGCAGTAGTGACACTGGGGTTTGAGCTGCAACACGACGAACCCCGAACCCCTGGCAAACATCTGTCGGCTGGACACAAGCTGTGGGGCATTGTGCTGAGCTGTCGGTGCTGGGAACATAGAGAGCAATCCAACAAAGACCTTTCCTCGCGTTACACTGACTGATGTACCCCAACCTCGTCACCCCGGGCACCCACACACATGCACTTATCAAGGGGTCCAGCATTCCTAGCGATTAGTGAACTAGAGACTGACCAACAAAGGACTTGATAGGATGAGTGGAAACAGACACGAGTATTCAGTAGAGAATTGTTTAATTGTATGGCGGGCAGTTCGTTAATCATGTTTTCACCTTATTTCCAATGCAACCCTGTCACCTGCCGGGATGTGTGTTGTGAATACGAGGGTCACAGCGCTTTCCTGTGTTTCTGAATTGTGACTCTTCCCAAAATGCAGCCCAAACACCCGATTCAGAGTGGCCTGTTGGAACGGACCTGAACGCGACTTTGTTAGGTTCCTGGGGAGGGGAGGGAGGGCTGAGGCGCTCAGGCCCCCTGCCCCAGACTTGGCTGTGCTCAGCTGCTCTGACCCGCCCCTTCCTCCCCAGGTATGGAGAGTGCAATCACGCTGTGGCAGTTCCTGTTGCAGTTGCTGCTGGACCAGAAACATGAGCATCTGATCTGCTGGACCTCCAACGATGGCGAATTCAAGCTCCTCAAAGCAGAAGAAGTGGCCAAACTGTGGGGACTCCGAAAAAACAAAACGAACATGAACTACGATAAGCTGAGCAGAGCCCTGCGATACTATTATGATAAGGTAACCCCTGGCCTGACTTGAGGCTGTCTCGGGGCGGTGGAGGGCCATCTCCATGTTTCACTGATGAAAGCAGATAACCGCGTCCTGTGCAGCAAGGTGGAAAATCAAACAGAGGCGATTTATGCCGTGTGGGTGTTTTGTTTGGAGAAAAACTGTGTTCTGGAGATTTTTTTTTCTGGAAGCCCTTTGGGTGTTACTGCAGGTCACATTTTATTCCCTCTGCAAAACTTTCTAACAATAGAAATGAGATGTAGGGAGGTTGTGGGGCTCCCCTCAGAAATGTTAAAATCCAGAAAGTCTGTTCATATCTCATCTGGTTTGTAGTTCACGGAAATGGGCCTTTCCTGGGGGGCATGGTAGCTTGTTATGTTATGTAACAGTTCTGTGCCTCTGTGTCCTCGTTTATAAAGTGGGGTCCTACTAGTCCTGCTCAGGATCGCTGTGAAGACGAAGCGAGCGTTGCGTGGTCAGGATTTAAAACAATGCTCGGTGCATGGGGTTTGCAACTTGAAGGGGAACTTCCCTGATCAAAAGAAAAACCATGTGCAAGTTTAAGTCACAGAGAGAAGTCAGCATGGCTGCCAAAGCCAGGACAGTTGGGGTGAGTTTTAATGCATTGCTGGAAAAACAGGCAATGTGCCTAGTAGGGCAAACCTGTTGCTGTGTAGGGGCAGTCACTTCAGGCCTGTGATTGTTGACCACTTCTCTGTGGCTCTGTTGTTGCTGAATATTTAGCCTCATGACATCAAGATGTAGAGTCCTGATAAGGGTGAGCTTCTGTTCTGGTTCTACTGTTCATATCGACAGGTGAATTACAAACTGATTTAAGTATTAGTTCTTGATCTATATTTAGTGCCTTCCTTCTGCCAACCTCTTTGGAGTTCAAGACAGGATTACACATTTCAGGAAGCAAAGTCATCGTTAATTATAAAGTGTTCCTTCATGTGATCATAATTGCACATGATTATGTCATTGAAATATTAAAGGTGCTTTCCTTTAATGTGGCAACTAATTAGTCCTGGCTCAATGCAGAGTCCTGCTAAGATGTAAAAGCACTTCTTGCAAATTGCACTGGCAGATGGTTTATTGTTTTGCATTTTGCGCAGGTTTTATGTTGCGCGATGGGACTTGGGACCCTCTGAAGGAAAACAGTCATCTTGCCTACTGGCAGGGTGCCTACAAGCCTGGCTTTGAGACGTTAAAAATATTCATTGTTTTAAGGTGAGGTGTCAAAGAAAAGGATCCCTGCCTCTGTCTGTGGCTCCTGTTCCCCTCTTCCAGTAGCCTGGGCATCGGCCGGGGGTCGCGTGTCGGCAGCAGGCAGGGGGATCCTGGGCTGGGAATGGCATGAAAAGACTGGCGAAGCCATTGCTGTTCAGACTACACGCGATCTCCCTGGAGCAGCTTGTTCACTCCCCAGGGAAAGCGGCCTCAGAGGCCTCGGTCACCCAGCAGGCTTTGGGACTCTGTGTCTAAGGCTCTGTGCTGAAGGCTTCCTGCCCTCGTCTCCCTTAGACTACAGCAGCCCGGGACAGCCCTGCTGGCATGTCCTCTCTCGGAGGAGGATGCGGGGCTTGGCGCAGGCACGTCCTGCCTTCTGGGCCTTTCATTTCCTTTGCCTCTGACACCTGAGTTCCAGGTTGGCCGGCAGGCAGCAGAGCCTGTCACCCGCAGCCTCAGAGATTCTTTGTTTCTCATCAAGCACGTCAGCCCTGAGAAACCCACTGTACACTGGGTGTCTGGTTGAACCCAAGCCCCAGGGTCCCAGTGGCCAGAGTGGCCCGCTCCCTGAAATTGTCCCTTTCCTCTCCTGGGGCGGAGCCTGAGGTCTGGCCACAAGCCCCGGGAGCAGCCAGTGGGCACCAGCAGAGGACGGGGCAGCTCTGGTCCTGTGAGTCACCCAGGCCTGGCCCCCAGGGGAAGGTGCCCTGCGTCCTGCCTTGGACATGTGCACACCATGCGTGTGCGTGTGTGAGCACAGCACAGAATGCGCATGCACAGTATAGAGGTATGTACACACAGCTGTTTTCATCTTTCTCATGAAATGTCCTCAAGTGATGAATAAGAGATCATTAGACTCCTGATCTAGTTTAAAGTGCAGAGAAGAGGAAGGAGGGGGAGGAGGATAGAGAGAGAGGAGGAGCAAAGGGAAGGGAGAAGAAGTAAAGGAGGAGGAGAAATGGCAAAAGAAGGTTACATTTACATACTTCTTTCAGTTTTGCCCTGTTACTCATGTGTAAATTGAACCATATGAAATTGCCCATAACTGACCATTTTTTACCCACAAAAATGGCAATCTTAAATGGCTCAGACTCGCCATGAGATGGATTCAAGGAGGGTCTTTGTGAATGTGAGGCCCTGGCCACCTGGTGTGCCCAGCTCTGCACCACAGGTACCCAGCACGCCCTGTGACCTTGCCTGCCATTGGCTGACCTCCTCTGCTTCCTCCCCGCTCCTTCCCCTCCCCCACCGGTACCTCTTCCTGCCCCTCTCCCTCCCCCCTCTACTACTCCCTCCCCCACATCTTACTCTACCTCTCCCTCCCCTCCCCTTCCCCCTTCCTCTCTCTTCCCTCCTCTCCCTCCCCTTCCCCCTCTCCCTCCCACCCCCTCCCTTTTCCCTCTCCCTCCCCTTCTTCCTCCCCCTCCCCCTCTTCCTCTCTCCTGCCCCCTCTTCCTCTCCCTCCCCCTCTTCTCCTTCCCCCTCTTCCACTTCCTCCCCCTCTCCCTCTCCCTCCCCTTCCCCCTCCCTCTCTCCCTCCCCCTCTTCCTCTCCCTCCCCCTCTTCTCCTTCCCCCTCTTCCACTCCCTCCCCCTCTTCCTCTCCCTCCCCCACCTCTTCCTCCCCCTCTCCCTCTCCCTCCCCTTCTTCCTCCCCTCTCCCTCCCCCTCTTCCTCCCCTCCCCCTCTTCCTCTCGCTCCTGCCCCCTCTCCCTCCCCCTCCCCCTCTCTGTCCCCCTCTTCCTCTCCCTCCCCCTCTTCCTCTCCCTCCCCCTCTTCCTCTCTCTCTTGCCCTCTCTTCCTCTCCCTCCCCCTCTTCCTCTCTCTCTTGCCCCCTCTTCCTCTCCCTCCCCCTCTTCTCCTTCCCACTTCCTCTCCCTCCCCCACCTCTTCCTCTCCCTCCCCCTCTTCCTCTCTCTCCTCTTCCTCCCCCTCCCCCTCATCTTCCTCCACCTCCTCTTCCTCTCCTTCTTCCTTTCCTCTCCCACCTTCTCTTCCTCTCCCTCCTTTTCCCCCTCTGCCCGTTGTGTAAATTAGCTGCCTTCCTACCTTGATAACTGCATCCTTTTTCCATTGTTATTTCTGTCACTTGCTAGCTCTCATCTCTTCATTCTTGGCTGAAATTGCACATCCCTTGGTTTGTCCTAATAGGGAAGTTTTCCTGCCACAGTAGACAAGCATGAGCGTATCATTATTTTTATATGTTATATGTTATATTTTTAGCTCATTCCAGAATACTAGAGATGGGCAGAGAAAACAAGTGGAAAATATGCAGAACTTCGCAGAAGGCATCCGAGGAGAGTAGCAGATGGGCTCATAGTGTCAGGTGGGGGCTGAGGCACTAGAATCTCATTCCTCCTGCTCTCTGCTCTCGTCACAGTGGGGTGGCTCCATAGTGTGGACTCGGCTGGGGTGTCTGCGTTTGAATCCAGCTCTGACTGTGGGTGCTCTGCCTAATCTCTTAGGGTCTCAGCTCTTTTTTGGTAAAATGAGTATAATGGAGTCTACACCATGGGGTTGTGCTGGGCATTAGCTGAGTTCACGTTAGCTGAGAACAGGGCCCCAGACACGGTAGGTGCTACAAGGTATTGGCCAGAGCAGTAATACAGGTGGTATTTCCTTATCACGAGCTGGAAAAGCTCAGACAGGTGCAAGGGGGGATGAGGACCTTTGTCCTGCCTCCTGCACAGGCCACAGAGGGGTTCTAGCTTGGCTGCAGCACTCCAGTCTCTGTCCCTACACGGCCTTGCTCCAGCGTGTCTGTCTCCAGACCTCTCTCTTACAAGGACACCATGACCTCGTCTTGAAGTGATTACATCGGCAGAGACCCTGCTTCCAGAGGTCACATTCCTAGGTGCTGGGAGTTAAGACTTCAGCATTTTTTTGAGGGGGACATGCTTCTACCCATAACATGTACATCTATTTCACATACTGCCGGCTTTTTATTTAGCTTTTCGAAATTATACGCAGAGGGGAGTACATTGGAGGTGATGCTTTGATCCAGCAAAGGAAAACTCTCCCCACGACAGAGGCAGCAGCTAGATTCAACAGCAGGTGTGAAACTAGGTTCTGTGACAGGCACGTCCCGGCGTGCCTACCATGCGCCAGGCACCGTGCTGGGTCCCCAGGGAGGAAACAGATGAAGAAGACGAGACCTGCCGTGGAGGAATTCAGTCTCTGAGGGTTCGGCAAGAAATTACTGAGATGGGAAGAAGAGCTGACCCTGGTGGCTGCAGTCCTGGGCTAGCAGTGGCTGAGATCTGGCCTCCAAGGTTCCTTGCCCACCTGAGTTTCGGTGAATTGCTCATTCCCATGCGCAGGAAGGCCGGAGGGCCCAGGGTTTGCACCCGAGCACCGCCAAGGACCTCTTCCCCAACCTAGTTTTCGACGAGGCTGCTGGGAAAACCCAAATGAATTCCAGCAAAGGAGTGATGCCCAGCTCCAGGTATGGCATGTTCTATACCTGGACATGGACCGAAGGCCCCTGTGTAGCTTGGAAACATACAGGTAAATGGGAGGACACCTGTGTCTGAGTCCATGCTGGGCAGGAACCAGAGCTGGCAGAAACCCAAATGGGACATTCGGTCCGTGCCTGGACACTTCAGTTACTCCTTACCAAACAGCCGTTCTCAGTCTCGAGCTCTAGGAGATGGGTTTGTTCACTGTAGTTCTGACGGGTTGAATTTGGGGGTAGGGTTTATTTTTTTTCTTAGGTTTAAACTGAGTCTCCCAGGAGGTACTTTCATAACCTGATAAGGATTTCTTGCAGAGATTTTGTTA